AATTAAGGTACTGTTATCATCCTATCCCACTCGCTGTAATACAGAAATTAAGGTACTGTTATCATCCTATCCCACTCGCTGTAATACATAAATTAAGGTACTGTTATAATCCTATCCCACTCGCTGTAATACATAAATTAAGGAACTGTTATCATCCTATCGCACTCGCTGTAATACACAGATTAAGGTATTGTTATCATCCTATCCCACTCGCTGTAATACACAGATTAAGGTACTGTTATCATCCTATCCCACTCGCTGTAATACAGAAATTAAGGTACTGTTATCATCCTATCCCACTCGCTGTAATACACAGATTAAGGTATTGTTATCATCCTATCCCACTCGCTGTAATACACAGATTAAGGTATTGTTATCATCCTATCCCACTCATATCTTTACTTCTTTCAGGAAGTTACAGTTCTGTAACTGGCTGGCGAAGACCGTATGTTTTTGTTTTCCATCACTGCAGAGACCTCTGAGAGAAACCAACTCTTCTCGAACTTCGGAAAACACCATGGCTGAGTCGTTAACAAGATTCTCAAGGTGGAGCTATGGATCGCGTTTTTCACTCAAGTCTAACCCGACTAAATCCATTCAGATGCGCCACATAGTGGAAAGGAACGAAACTAAGCCTAAAGCGTTAAAACTTGGTTCAAAACGAAAATGTTCAGAAGTCTAAAGGCTTTGTTTTCTCCTTACATGTATGTATAATGTTCACGTGTAAATGTTTTTCGTGTTAATTTTTATTCCTAAGTACCAGCCAGTAAAACCTATTGCAGTGAAATGTTAACTGTTCTGAAATGTCTTCTAGAACAGTTAAGTCAGTGTGAACCGATCAAAGGTTTGCCTCTGTTATTATTAATGATACTTGGTAAGCTGGGCTACTGTAACATGCTATAGATGGCCTCATCAACATTAAAATAGAAAGAGAATAAACTCGAGGTTGTAATAATTTATAAACGAAAAAAAATTGCATTAAGTTTGTAAATCTGCTAACAGTGGATTTTTTATCAAATTTTAATATACATTGTAAATCTGCTAACAGTGGATTTTTTATCAAATTTTAATATACACTGTAAATCTGCCAACAATGGATTTTTTATCAAATTTTAATATACACTGTAAATCTGCCAACAATGGATTTTTTATCAAATTTTAATATACACTCTA